CAAGCAATAAGGCTCCACTTTTACATCTGTGACGACACCTGACTTTCATTCCTTCTGTAGGAAATTGGGCTGTTCTCTGATTCTAGGAATATTTCTAGAAAATTAAGCATTATACCCTTAACCCCAGGCACCAAGCAGGAGTTGAGGTGCAGAGATGAGTGACAATGGTCTCCACTTATCCTAATGGGAAAGGCAGAGCCAGTGACATATAGAGCTCTAGAATTCTGTCAGTCCACCAAGCTTTATCTTGGTGGATAAAGCTTCATAGACACAGCCCTCATCTTCCTTTGAGCAGGAATTCCTCTGAGACACAGGAGTTTAGATAGTTCCGGGCCTTGGAGGCAGTTCTAATTTTGGCCCATACTCTAGGCAGTGAATGCCCTCTTCACACTCCCTTTGGTGGGCCTCGCCTATTACAAAGGATGAGAGTCTCAATCCTCTTTGGTGGTGACCTTTGATATTCTCCTCTGGGATCGAGAGTGGCAGAAATGGAAGACCCCATCCTCCCCAAAAGTGTGTGAGAACAGAGGTGAGTGGGCTGGGCAATGCAGGCAGGGCTGGCCAGTCCCGTCTCAGTCACCATTTCTGTACACCAGTCACTTCTTCCTCCCGCGACTTCCTGCTCCTGCAGCAAGTCATACAAAGTGCAGCTCAGGCACTTGCTCTCAAGGCCTGCCTCGCCCTTCCTGCCTTTACAGAATACCCCACACATTACTTAACTTGTGTATTACTTCAATTTATTTTTGTGAATATAGCCTGCTTTTTTAATTCAGATAAGCTTTGCTAAAACATTATTATTTTCTCCAGGCACTGGTGTTACTCAGGAGACTGAGATATGAGGATCACAGTTTGAAGCCAGCCCAGGCAGGAAAGTTAATTAGGTTATTTTCTCCAATTAGCCACCAAAAAGTCATAAATAGCCATAAATGACTCAAGTGGTAGAGCACCAGCCTTGAGTACAAGCTCAGGGACAGAGTCTAGGTCCCAAGTTCAAACCCCAGGGCTGACACAGAAAAGATACTTTTCTGAGTTATGGAAGGCAGAATGAATAGATTTTCCCCATGTTATGGAAAAAATCTAAATGTGAAAAATATAGAACTAACTCAAGCCACCTCTTAGAAATGCTTTTATTCTAGATCCCTTGCCTTTAATCTATGCTGTCTTATTATTTTTAATATCTCTGCCAGAATTTCCTTCTGGAGTCGGTCATGTATATAAATATGTCATTGTATCTGTCACATCACAGTTGATAAGATGTGACATTATTTTTGTGTAGCACTGAAAAAGAAAAAAAAACTATTTAGCCTATGAGGCTATAGGATTTCAAAAATGGGGGTTGGGGGGAGTGAAGAATGAGAGGAATATGTGGCTCCTTAGATAGAAGATAGAATTGTCTTTTTAACGTTAAGAGCAGAGAGAAAGCGTAAAGATTTTTTTCAGTTAGGCTAAAGTTTGTATCCCAATTCCTTCCTCACTAGCTGGAGGAAGTGACCCTGTCTTTGAGCTCCAGTTTTGCATCTGTATTTCTTGTAATAGAACTTAAGTAAATTTATGTCCTTGGATAAAAGTTCTTTGTGTAAGAATGGTTCTAAACTGAAGTGCTTTGAAAAGAGGGGTCTTAGTATTACCACTGCTCAGCCTTGGCTGCCTCTGTCTCCTTGTCTTATCCTGATGGCTGAAATGTAGACTTCAGTGATTAAATGTGTGACTACTTTGGACAAGCATCCTCTGCTTGTTGAATACCTATGCATGATCACAAAAAAGACAGCTGTCATTTCACCTTGTATAAACAGTGGTTTGGAGCCTCAAGTATATTCTCCATATTCAGGGACTTCCTCCTGGAAATGGGGTAGAATTTTAATTGCATCTCTGATTTCTCTTTCTTGCTAGTAAAATCCCGACTCTCTACTCTTTCCTTATATGATGACACTTTTTAAAATTGTGTTTGTCTTTCTCAGAGCTTTCCTGAGTATAATCTATTTAAGGGGACTTAGGAAAAAGAAGTTTTTAAAAAAAGAATTTATCTTTTTACATTGACCATCAAACGATCTGCTACTGGTAATCCTCGCTGGAGCTTTGCTTATTATTTTCACAAGCATGGAATTCAACTTTACTTAAATGAAAATTTTTGTGTTTCTTTCATTTGAGAAGTTTTAATAAAGTTTCTACCATCTTGTGACGTACATCGTTCCTGTCATGAACTTAGATTTGTGGCAGCTGTTTCCTGTAAAATGCAAAAAGGTAATTTCAGTAAGTTTCATTTCCTACAAAGATAAAAGCACGAAGAACTATGGAGGAATCACCATATAGCTCTTTTACCATAGAAACCAATGAAAAAAATGGGGCCAACACAAGAGCTTTCTTGCTTGCTTGCTTTTTTTTGACACTTTGGGCCATGGAGTAATTTGGCTTCTGACATTGATGCTGTATCCCACAAATTTCTTTCTACAATATTGTCAGTGGTGGTTATTTCTATCAAAGCTGACAGAAGATCCAGAACATTGCAAGACTCACATACACATTGTTAATAAGGTAATAAGATTTGAGTAAGTTGGCAGTGATGTGGCTGAAACTTAGCTTTCTGTGCATCTTGGCACCCAACACTCCATCACTGCCTAGAGCATACACTGGTGAGAGGGAGACTAGTACATCCAAATGCTGTAACCTCCAAGAAGGTATGGAGTTTGCTCTATACTGCCCATTGCTGTATTCCTTTACTTTAGAGCAGTACAACATGGCATGGCAGCACATGGGGCTGTTCCATAGATACTTGCTCAGTTTGCTAAATGAATGTGGCCTGGTAGCTATTTATGCCTGCATGTGCCATTCTGAGTAATTGCTTATCCAGATTTTTATGCAAACCACCGAGTTCTCTCTCTTTCCTTTCCTTTACAATCAGCTATCTCAAAAGCAGAATCTGCTCTTGAAGTTTGAATGCTCTTACATCACGTTCATTCAAGCCTAGTATTGTCAGACAAAAACAGTGTCCCTTGTCATGTATTTTTGTGTTCTGATGATATTCAATTTGCCTCTTAATTATGAAGGTATGGTTTATAAGCTCATAATGATTCATGAATGCAATGGGAGGTGCCTGGAGGTGAAATTGATTTTTAAGTTTTTTTTTTTTGCCAGTCCTGGGGCTTGAACTCAGGGCCTGGGCATTGCCCCTGAGCTTCTTTTGCTCAAGGCTAGCACTCTACCACAGGAAGCACAGTGCCACTTGTGGCTTTTTCTGTTTTTGTGGTACTGAGGAATTGAACCTAGGGCTTCATGCATGCTAGGCAAGCACTCTACTACTAAGCCCCACCCCTGAACATTTATTTCTTTATGATTATAAAATTGTATAAAAATTAAGAGGATGTATAATTTAAAGCCAGAGAACACATCTTTGGCTTTAGTAGAGTTAAGTATGTTTGCTATTGGTCAATGTTACTGGATTCTTGGGAAGAAATGTCGTAGGTAGACATTAAAGGTGTTAACATAAAGAATTATGTGAATTTTTTTTGGTTGGTTGTGGAGCTTTAATTCTGGGCCTGGGCGCCATCCCTCAGCTCTTCAGCTCAAGGCTTGAGCCACAGTACCACTTCTGTTTTTCTGAGTGGTTTATTGGAGATAGGAGTCTCATGGACTCTCCTGCCTGGTCTGGCTTTGAACCACGATCCTCAGATCTCAGCCTCTTGAATAGCTAGGATTGTAAGCGTGAGCCACCGGTGCCTGGCAAGAATTATGTGAAGTTTTAAAAATCTAATTACTTGAGATGTAAAAATCAATAATCTTCAAACATATTTGAATCAACAAATATATTGCAGAAGTGGGGGGCATTTTACAAATTGGATCTTGCATTTTTGAAGGTTTTCTGATTTTAGTTTTTGTTCCCCTTCAACTTGTTATTGCCTTTTTTTCATTCTCTAATTCAGTGTAGGAGCACTATACCCAAAGTAGAGAAGGAGAAATATATTATTAATGAGCTATTCCATAATTATTTTCCTTGGGAGTGTAAGGCCATACTAACACAAATATTTATGACATTAAATATTTATGACATTGTTTAAATGCAGATTTTGTTCTATAAATATATACTGAAGGCTGAATGAACCTTTTATACTCTGACATTACGAAAGAAAAGAACAAGGAAACACTCATGTTGCAAGTATATGTTATAGAAAAGAACTCAAGTTTTATTCAGTAAGCATTAATTTTGGGGACTTCACATAGAGAAATGTTCTCTTTTTTTCGTAATTATAGGAACTATTTTCCATTGGTAGTCACTCACACAGTGGAACTATCACAGGACATGTAAATTACATTGCCTGTATGCCTGTTATACCAGGAACTGAGGGATTACAGCATCTGGTAGGCAGATTATGGTAATATCCTCCTAGGTTAACATTATTTTCTTAGGCAAGGTACTAGTATCTCTGAATATGAAGAGGAATTTAAAAGTAAGGTGGTTATCTGAGATTTGTTTCTTTCTCTTTTTTCCCTGATTTTTTTTTGGGGGGGTCCAGTAGTGGGGTCTGAACTCTGGGCCTGGCTGCTGTCCCTCAGATCTTCAGCTCAAGGCTAGTGCTCTACCACTTAAACCACAGCGCCACTTCCGGCTGTTTTTCTTTTTGCTTATGTGGTGCTGGGGAATTGAACCCAGGGCCTCATGCATGCAAGGCAAGCGCTCTACCACTGAGCCACCTTCCCAGCCCCTAGTTAGGCTGTTTCTAAGCATAATCTTTCTCCCAAGACTGTCTGTAGGATTCCATGTATGCATTGTGCACTCTGCCAGCTAATCTGTCTGTAGGATTCCATGTATGCATTGTGCACTCTGCCAGCTAATAACATAACTAAGTATTTTTGTTTCTGAGGAGTAAAAATCTGATTCTCACACTTTGACTCTCAAGCCTTGTTTGGTTCTGGTCTGAGTAGGTTCTCTGACAGAACCTGCTGCCTTGGATCTGAAGAGTGTGCTACAGTGTGAGCCTGATGAGAACTTATCTGTGATTGACTTCTTATTCCTCATTATATTTATTTTCCTTTAAACAATAATACCAAAGAGGAGCTGCCAAAGATGTAGAGTTAAAGATAGTAGAGGGATGGGATGAAACAGTCATAAATCGTTTCCATCAGCTGCGGCGTCTCCACGTTGCTGGTAAAGATGTGCAAAAACTACTTCTATTACTACTAAAACGTCTATTGGAGGAAAAGTTGGTGGGAGATTATATTCTGCAGCACTTATTTTGCCCTTGTTTCAATTTAAGCAAGTTTTCTCAAGTGAGGTCCACAAAGATACAATCTGCTACAATTGCTACGCTCTTTGAGTGTGAAAGACAGAAAGCTGCAGCACTCTAGGCACTGATCAGAAGGAAATATGGAACACAACGACAGAGTGGTCGATGATGGCCTGAAAAGCTCTAAACACTAATGCTTAGACAAGAAAAGCAGAAGTTTAAGGTGAGCCATCGTTTTCTATTGGGGAGGATTCCTGATCTTGAGGCGGCTCTGGAAAGTTTATTTCTGTTTCTCCTTCTTCTTCTACTTCTTCTTCTTCTGCTTGGATTGGGATAATTTCAATGTCTTCTTCATTCTTTGGTTGGGAAGATACTTCAGTTAGTTCAAACATTTCTTCTTTCACTTCAATTGTCTGTTCTTTTTTTTCTTCAGCTGTCAGGAAAACCACACTCTAAAACAGAAACAAAATTTTCTAGACGTTTCCATTGACACCTTTCTCCATAATCTCTATAAATCATTTCCTAGTTGTTATGCTACTTATGTTATTTACCATAGACCTCCAACTACCAAGATTTCCTCAGATGCTCAAATCTTTATCAGATCACTTATCAAAACTCAAGTCTGCGTAAATCTTCAAGGGCTTGCGGACATTTACCACTTTCCTTGGAATGCTCACACTGCCTAGGAAAAGAACACTTCAAAACACAGGTGTTTACATCCTAGTTCTGATTTTCTTTCAGTGATTATAACCCTGGGAACCATTGCTCTCTCTTTTCTCTCTTCCTTCCTCTGTCTCCTTCCCTTCTTTTTCTCCTCCCCTTTTTCTCTTTCTTTCCCTTTCCACCTTTCTCTCCCTTCCTTCCTTCTCTCCTTTCCTTTCTCTCACATTTTCCACATCTGTAAAACAAAAGAATTAGCGACAACCTCTTAAGTTCCATTCTTGATCTAACAACCTAGTACAGAAGCAGTTAATAGATCCATTGTTGGAATATTCATATTTCCCTTTGTCAGAGCCTCTTAGAAAGCCTATTGTTTTGGAAAGAGAATTAGGTGAAAAGGGCAGGAGCAAGAGGAGAAAAATGAGAAGTGAAATGGAAGAACTAGTGACTTTAATCAGTCTTTATCCTTCTAATCACAAATTGCTTTGCAGTTCTAAAACATTTGTGTACATTATTGGTATTCTCTGCTTTCTAGAAATGTGACAAAACTATCTCTTAAGAAGCTCCTAGTCTCCAAGTCTTACCCAATCTCATTCTCCATAAATAATCCTTTGTAGATATGAATTTTGTAGGAGGATGTGATGGGAAGAGGGTTTCCTACTTACAGCTTTGTGCCTGGAGCAAGTCCTTTTCCATTCATTCTCAACAATACCAGCAGTTACAAGATTCTGGAAGAAGGCAAAGATGAGCATCACTGACAAAATGCCCTGAGGGAAAAACACAGGAATGGAGGTGAACATATACCAATAGAAGAGAATGTGACTGATGCTCATTAAATGACTGCTGACTACAATTAAATGATTACAAGATCAAGTCATTAATATAATAATAACTGCCTGGAGGGCCTGCTACTACAGCTAACAGTGTCTTCACAAGCCAAAGGGCTTATGAAAGAAAAATGACTGAGTCCCAAATTCAGTTGTATCCAAGTTTAGGTAGTAGGGGATCACACCAAAGAAACCGTTCTACACCTAGAGGGAGAGCATATCCCTGACTCTACAGTGAAACTCCTCCAAAGGAAAGATGGTTATTGCTTCTTAGGACAGCCATGTTCATCCTACTTAATAATGGGCTTGGGGCCTGGCTGAAATGGTAGAGTGCTTGTCTAGCAAGTGTGAGGCCCTGAGTTCAAAACATACTGCTGCCTAAACAAGTTAAAGAATAGTAGCAACAATGATGCTACTAATATTAATGCCACTAATGGTATTATTAATAATAATGTCATTAATAAACATATATAGTACTTTATACAAGATACTGTTCTAAGTGGTTTACATGCATTTACTAATTTATTCCTTCAAACAACCCTATAACTAGTGTTATACTATACATTATACTATACCTATACTTTATATGACAGGTCTACCTATAGGTATACTATACATATACTTTATAGTGGAAGAAATTGTGGCAGAGTATGGGTGAAATACTTGCCTAAAGCTGTAGAGGCATTAAGGAACAGACTCACACAGTCTAGGTCTAGAGTTGATTCTTGTAATAAAAAAAAACAGTATTTATCCCCTGGAGAGAAATTCAATTTCACACTTACTAAGAAAACAGATTGCATGCTGTAACAGAATTGTGTAGATGCAGAGTTTTTCTCAGCAGGATTAGCTGGTTCACAGTTGTATATGTTAACATATGGCACGGGAGTTTTAATAAGATTCAGACTTTCCAGTTTTAAAAAATGCGACATTGTAATATTAAGTATGTCCATGATCAAAAGAATTATTCCAGAAATGGCAGCAAAGAGGCTCAATGAGTTCATTATCACTTTTACTCTGATCTGAAACAGACAAACAGATTTATTAATTAGTTATGATTCCCATTGGAGAATATAGTCTAGAAAGAAATCCCACCTGCCCTTCTCCTGATTCACAAAAATGCCACATCTAAATCCCACCAAAGGTCTGAGGATTTTAGCCTCTTTGTCAGCATAAGCTTCAGTCCTCTTACTTATTCCAAATAGAAACCAGAAGCAGCAGCAATGATATGGCTACCTTCTCCTTATTGATGTAAATTTCATGCAATCTCAGTCTTTCAAAATACAATTAAGGCTGTCATGGGTGAGAGAGCATGTGTGTGAATGTTTAACCTTGCAGGGATAAGAAAAGCTCGGAACTGGAAGGAGTATGTGACAGGCACATTTGGTACAGTTACCAATGACATTTTATGACACACATTTTTCATTTCTGGCTCTGTGACCTACCGATGGCCATTCAGGAGGTATGGCCAGACAGGAGGTGAGGCTGTCTTTGGAGAATAGAATAATTTGATCTTCATAAACAGTTTCTTTCCCCTAAAACTAAGTTTCTCAGGCCACTTCTAGAGAGGAACAAGATACTTAGACGCTGTCTGACTGAAAGTGACTCAGTTTAGTAGGTGAGATAAAGTACAAGGAGAGAAATTTCTTGAGAGGAACCTTGTTGGTAGGGGCTTTACCTACCCAGCAGAATCAGGGGCTCTACAGTAACCCTTCTCTTTATGTATGAATGAATTCTAGGTGTTATATGAGTAAGATCATACTGTAGCTTTTTCTTTTTTGCTAGTCCTAGGCCTTGAATTCAGGGCCTGGGTGCTATCTCTAAGCTTTTTTGTTTTTTTGCTCATGGTTAGCTTTTTACCATTTGAGTCATAATTCTACTTCCAGCTTTTGGGTAGTTTATTGGAGAGAAGAATCTCATGGAGTTTCCTGCCCAAGCTGGCTTCAAACCATGATCCTCAGATCTCAGCTTCCCTAGTTGCTAGGAATCCAGGCATGAACCACCTGCGCCTGGCCATGCTGTAACTTGTTAAAGCTACTGGAACACTGTCACACGTATTATTCCATTTCATTCTCATGCCGACTTCCTGGAGTGGCCAGAATTAGTATTTCCATTTCTTTCTTTCTTTCTTTTTTGTCGGTCATGGGGCCTGAACTCTGGGCCCTGGGGGCTGTCCCTCAGCTCTTCAGCTCAAGGCTAGCGCCCTAGCACTTGAGCCACAGTGCCACTTCTAGCTTTTTCTGCTTATGTGGTGCTCAGGAATCAAACACAGGGCCTCATGCATGCAAGGCAAGCACTCTACCAATGAGCCACCTTCCCAGCCTCTATTATTTCAATTTTTGAGCAAGAATACAGAGCTTCCTAGAGATAACTGATGTATTTGAGTTTATGACTTAAGGTTCTAACTCAGCTAAAACCTGAATCAGACAAAGCTGATTGGAGAATGTCTGTTTCAAGGATATTCTTTAAAAATATTAAAAGGGTTGTTGTTTTCATGTAATACTTAGTATTGACAAGTCTGTAAGTACAATTTCCCTGGACTTCCGGAAGATCTCATGTTTATGTACTTTCCTGAATAAAAATCACAATTGGCATAGTTAAGGATCTTTGCTTTGTAGACTTTAGTCTATGATGCCAGATCTCTTTAAGGGTCCTAGTTGTGAATGAAGAAGACAAATATTTCTCTGGTGTGTGGGAAAGGACATTGGTTTACTTGCCAGATTCTTCCTGAAGCTCTTCTCTGTGGCTGCCAGGAGTGATCCAGAAATAATGAACTGTAAAAAAGAGAAGTGAGGTGGTCGATGGGGAGAAGTGGGGGGAAGAGGAGAGAAGAGAAGGAAGAAAGAGAAAAGAGAGATCACTTTTTGACACTGAAAACTGGTCATAAAAAAGCCTTCTACATATTTAGCCACTCTCACTGAACTATGCACCAGTTCACTTATGTTTTGTTATCTGGCTACACCAGATAGGTAGCAACCTCTGTAACTGGACCATTAAATTGAAACAACAATGTACAACAACAGTAATATGATTTAGCCTTTATTGACATAGTTTATAATCAGCCACAGTTAACTGTCTTTCAAAATACATTTAGGGCTGATATCTCCAGATACGAAGTAAGAAAATAATAAATATGAATTAAAAATTTTGATTTTCCTTTTCCTCTTGTTCACATTAACTTGTGCTTACTAGGCAGGCTCTCTACTGCTTGAATTATACTAGCTCTTTTTGTCTTTATTCTTAAAATAGCATTTTACTTTTTCCCTGGGATGGCTAAAATCTCAATCCTACCTATGTATGCATCTCACCCAAAGGGGTCTGGTGAATTTTTGTTTTGCCCAGGGCTGGTCTTGAACCACTATCCCTCCAGTCTTAGCCTACTGGGTAGTTGGGATTACAGACATGAAACCACTGCTTCTGACTTATTTTTATTTGTTTAGTTAGTAACAATGTTCCTTGGAGTTCAGAGTAACTTAAATGGCTTTGAGGCCAAGGAGAAGTCAATGTAGAAGGAAATCCTTGGCCTGAAGTTCCTAAAAGTGTCATTCAAATGTTGGTCACGACAAGAAATGATGGTGATTATTTCTCAGCTGCTTTGGAGGGAAACCTTGTTGTAAAGAGTCTTCCTTATGAAACTTTAGTGCTGGACTCATTGCTAGAGGGGCAGCCATGAGGATCATAACAGAGAAATAGACATCACTGCCCTGTGATTCAGTCAGCTCTGTTAATGAGTTTGGGAAACATGCACCTACAATATTACAAAGGAGAGTTGCTACACTCCTAAACTTAAAGAGATTTTGAGGGGATTAGACCAATTTGTTCAGATGCCACAGTAAGCAATCAGAATTGATAGGGAGGAAGGAGCAGGTAGGAGAATATGGGGTGTTCCTGTTTCTTTTTGCTTTTGAGCACCAGCTATCTAGTGCCTCTTTACTCCCCTCCCCCCCCCCCCTCCCCCCCCCCCCCCCCCCCAGAATTAGCTGTGAAAAGGCCCTGATTTAAACACTCCTCCTTCCTGCACAGACCTGGGAAGAGCACCTTGCTTTGAAAAGTTCACACAAAGCATGATTACTAATGCTCAACTATGGTACTCACACAGGATAGTCATACTGTCTTACCATTTAATTATTTCACAATAATTGTTATTCTATCTGTATACTTTCCTTAACCAAAAATAGCCCCGATCTTGTTATTTTAAAGAAATTTTTTATTACACAAACATTTTTCTTACTTACCATAGTGCCTCCCCAGAGCGGGTACCACACCGTCACACAGATGGGTGCGTAGACCCCAGTGGGGATCAACAGCAGGCCACCCAGGGCAAGATGGAAGAGTCCATTCATGATCTGGACAGCCTGGGGAGAAAGGGACACTGTGAAGTGAAATAACTACAGCTGGACAGTGAAGAGGTTTGAACCCTGGGGACTGACTTGGGGGACTGCACAGGATTCCTAAAGAAAGCGGTAGGGGTGGCCTGTCTTTTTCTTGTTCATGTTCATTTCCCCACCACACAGGATATTTCCCTGTCATGTCTTGAATTTTAGCAATGGCTTGGAATAGAAGATCTTTAAGATTCAAACACAAAGAGAACCTAAGATGGCCTTGTAGTGAGCCTGGTGCAGCCTTGATTTAGGCCAATGCATCACACATAAGACTATATCATTTGGACCACATCACTCCCAGTTAGACTATACATAGCCCACAGGACCAGCGTCTGCATGCCAGAGCATCTCTAGAAGATGAAGTATAAGGTGATGGACTTACCCCCAGAGCCTTTGATTCTCTCATGAAGAAGCTTTGCGTGGGGCCCACCAGGGAAGACACCCTCCTGAGGTTTACTTTGGGAGTAGCCTGCAGCCTAACGGGGCCTTTCATGGGCTCTGCTGGGAACATTCCAATCACTGAATTTCTGGGTGTCGTCATTTTCTGTTCTCAAAACTCCTAGAAATAAATAATGTCAGTATAACATAGCTACAGATGTAAAACATTTGAATATCTGTTTTTGAACATTTGGTATCTGCAGACTTGCAGTTCTGTGGGACTTTGGTAAGATAAATGATCTGGATTTCTCAAGTTCCTTTAAATGAGATATAAGATTTGACACCCCCGCTCCCCAAAGAAGGATTTACAGGGCTCAGGGAAAACAAAAAGAATTCACCTAAGTAGTTGATGTCAATAATAAATATCAAAAGCAAAAGGTTAGAGAGTGTTGAAATGAGCTGGACATTGTAAATCACCTTCTCACGTCAGAAACAAATCATAAGTAATAGCAAATAGCAGTCACCACATTCTTCCTGTGTTCTGGGCACATTCACATATGCCAATGCGTTTCAAAGACTAGCTGGTATATTGTGGACTGAACATAGGTTTTTCATCTTCAGTGATACTAAAATCTGAACTGATCCTAAAATCATGAGTCAGCTGATCACACACACTCTGATTTTTATTAGCTCCAGCAACTTCTACATTAAAATTCTTATTTTCAAAGATGCTATTGTTTCTGTGTTCATCCTCTGAAGAAGCATTCACAGTCTGTGGGTTTGGGTTTGAGCAATGACTTGTAGGTCCAATAACTCCATCATGTACTGAGACGTTCAAGGCTGCCTTCCTTTTTACCTCCACTTCCTCCTTTGCCACTCGGAATAGCTGTGCATTTTCATCCTTTCAGCCTCTGTGCACTTATCTCTGAGAATAAATATTCTTATCTGTGATTTCTTTTCCACCAAGACCATGCTGTGTACAGTCTCTCACTCTGTTGGCAGGAAAGTTAATTCCATCTTTGGTGCTACATTTGGGATCTCTCTGTAGAGTTGGGATAAGTACCTTACTCAAATACAAACTATTGTTTAGGTAACATAAGTTATTTTACAGCTAACGTATTGCTACTTAAATTATTATCACTGAACTTTTCTTATGACTAAAATGCAGTGTCCCCAAACACAAAAGCCTCCTTTCTTAAATCTAGCAATGGCTCCAAACACTACCCCATTTCCCCTTTACCTCAGATTCTTTAATGCTTTACATTTGACCCTTTCCCCCAACTTCCTCATCACCCACTCACCTCTCTATACTTTGCACCTAGTTTCTGTCCGAGGCATTCAGCTGAGACTGCTCACAGTGTTTAAAGACCACACTGCAGACATGGCCTTTTCTTCATGTTTTGCCTCAGATTGACTTATTCTCTTACTCCCCGATTTAAGAAGTTGAAGCCAAATTTCATGCCAGCTCCTTCATTCCTGATGCTCAACCAATTGCCAGATAATGTTATTTCTACCTCTGCAATGTGTCTTGTCATGTGGACCTTTCTTGGTTTTGCACAAAAGTTTGTTTTTTTTTTGTCAGTCATGGGGCTTGAACACTGGGCCAGAGCGCTGTCCCTCAGCTCTTCAGCTCGAGGCTAGTGCCTTACCACTTGAACCACTGGGCCACTTCCGGTTTTCTGAGTGGTTTATTGGAGATAAGAGTTTCACAGACTTTCCTGCCAGGGCTGGCTTTGAACTGCAATCCTCAGATCTCAGCCTCCTGAGTAGCTAGGATTACAGATGTGAGCTACCGGCACTGGCCAAAAGTTTTTTTTTTTTTTTTTGTCTGCTGTCATTTTCTTTTCTAATATATCCTACACAGGGTTACTAGATCCAACTTTAAATCACTGCTTAAGTCATGCTTTTTCTCAGTGTAAATCCTTTTGCTGTCTTGTCCTTGCTTATTAGAGAAATTCTCCATCTGGCCTCTCTAGCCCTTTGCTCTCAGCTCCACCTGACTTGCACATAACTTCCAAAGCTGGTGGCTCCACTGGAGCCACTGGCCTGGACTTGTCTGTCTTCTCTGAATCTGCTCAATCTGGGGAGACGCCCTCTTTCTCCCTCTTCAGTTCCCCGAAGCCATCCTTGTCCTTACCTGATTGAAAAGATTTCTTCTAAGTCCAAAGATTTTTTTGCATTTGTTACTGTTCATTCATTTCTTTTCAGTGTCCTACTCGGATTTCATAGGGAGCCCATCTTCTGCATAGTATGACCTCAATACATGTTCAATAGGACACCAAACTCTGTTCCTTCCACTAAATGGGTGCTCAAGATGCTGGTTTAAAGGATGATACGTTCTCTTCACTTGCCCATCAGTGAGAACAAGCCATTTGTTTTTGTCGGCCATGGGGCTTGAACTCTGGGCCTGGGCGCTGTCCCTCAGCTCTTCAGCTCAAGGAGAGAGCTCTACCACTTGAGCCACAGCACCATTTCTAGTTTTCTGGTGGTCAGTTGGAGATAAGAGTCTCATGGACTTTTCTTGCCCAGGCAGGCTTTGAACAGTGATCCTTAGATCTTAGCCTCCTGATTAGCTAGGATTACAAGCCATTTTAAAGGAAATGGAAAGACAATTTTCTCTCTCCCTCTCTCAGAAACAGACTCTTTCTCTGTCTGTCTGTCTCTCTTTCTCACTGGCTGGCCTCAGGAACCCATTATGATATGATTAAAATGTACCCCCTCTCCTGTCTTCTAGGTTAAGGTACAATTTTGTGCTCAGTTTAGCCATTTTAAAGGAAATGGAAAGACAATTTTCTTTCTCCCTCTCTCAGAAACAGACTCTTTCTCTGTCTGTCTGTCTCTCTTTCTCACTGGCTGGCCTCAGGAACCCATTATGATATGATTAAAATGAACCCCCTCTCCTGTCTTCTAGGTTAAGGTACAATTTTGTGCTCAGTTTAATGTCCATCATCCCCTGTATATATAAGCATTAAAGTTTAACATCATCTGGGTGTCTTAGTTTATCTTTGGAGACAAAAGCAATTAAGGGGAAATGATTGGAGTTATTTTTCTGTGACCATGACCGATTTTTTTTTCCTTTTTAGTATTAGTATCAAAAAATCCTAAAGGCTTTTGTGTTTTTTAGCTCACTCATGCAGTGTTCATGACATACTGGCAATACTTATTGTTTGTTTTGTGGATAAGCAAGCCGACACATGCAGGGGTTTAGCAACTCACTTATATGGCTAGAGCTCCAGTTGGAATACTTCAGGGTAGAGAAACCATGCTGTGGTCTCCATGCTGCATCTACTCCTTTTGTAGCCTGAATTGACTGCCCATAATAGTTTTGGAGAAGAGAACAGTTAAGAGACTTGAATGGACTTCAAGCCTTGAGGCCACCAGGATCAAACCACAGTGCTATTAGAAAGTCTGACTAAAGAAAGTCTTCCAAGAATGGAAACAGAATCTCCAATCCGCCTAGTTCTTTATCTATCATCTCATTTCAGCGCTTTATTTTTTTTCATTTTTTTGCCATTTAACAACCCAGTGTATGAATACAATATAGCTTGATTAATGTCACCTCTTTTAACACGCTCAATCGTCCCTTCCCTATTCACCCCTTCCGTTACTCTTCTTCATGTTGTAGGATGTATATTAGATTCTTGGCTGCATTTCTCCCTGCTTCTTCTCCTCTTCATTTGTCTACTCCTTTTCCCCTAACCACACTCTACCACTTTCACGTACCTGTTTCCTGGTGTTTTTCATTTTGGCTTCTCAAGGAATTATACTATTTGAGATCTCCCTTGAATCTACCACATTTCAGTAATACATTTATATACAGGCGCATTCCACCCAATGCATTTACTTAGGAATTTGTAAGCTAAAATCTAGCTTCCATATAGAAGGGAAAACATGGATCCTTTGTCTCTCTCTGGGCTTGACTTACTTAACATACTTCTCCCCCCAAGTATTCCATTTCTTTCAGCCTTTTAAACAAAGCAAACTCACAGATTTTACCTGAATTTCCACGACTTCCAATTTTCAAGGCTTCCAGGCTCCAAGGGCTGATCAGTTTGCTGCTTCTGGTGGCTCAAGAACTTGAGGGCGAATGAAATAGACCAGGCCGGGGGGTGCTATCTCTAGTAGCTACCAGGTGACAGGAAATCAGTACTGCTGCTACCTTGCTCCAATTACTTTGGTTTAATATGAACTTAACCAGAGCCAAAAGAGAGAGAAAAAGTTTCTGCTACACCAACAGGTTTCACTTCTTGAAAAACACCCCCAGGGGACAGCACGGTGCCCTTCTTGCTACCTTAATTAGAAGAACTTCTGCAGCCCCCACCCTGCAAGCAGGTGTGGGTAGTGGGTCCCTAAGGGGTAAAAGAGCATTGGAAATTCTCCAAGGCTGGGCTGTTAGAACTTTTTACCTTTCTGCTTTGCTTTGAGGGGTAATAGGTAGGGAGGAAGCATCCATGCAGTGGTTCAGAGAATCATTGAGCACATGTTCTTAGGGGTGTAGCACTTATCTGCTCACACTGAGGGTTCTAGTGGATCATGTTATGTCTCATGTCAGATTAGCAGAGATGGCTGGAAATATCGCTCATTCGCTTGAGGCAACAGTGAGCCTTCTCTCCATTTGGGTATGGAAATTGAAATACCACTTGTACCTGTGAACAAGTGTGTTTCTTCCATGCGTCTAGTTCCCTAGCTGCCCTCTTTAGTTACAGATAGAGCTGCATGGTCAAGCCTAGTGCTGGATCAAGTAGGAGAATGGAGGAAGCTGGTGGCATCAGGATTCTAAACATCTGGGAAGTAAATCAAAGAAATATTTGTCCAAAGATATTATCAACTCCAGCTCCATATGCAAACTTTGTATTCGTATGTTGGGATTTTCCATTACTTTAAAAGTTCTGTATCCAGTACTGGATTTGTTGGATACAGGACTATAAATTAATTATTTGTCCATTTAATCTAAGGATATGACAACTTTATTATCTAATCTGAGGTTCTCTCTTCCTCCCCTCCCCTTCCCTCCCCTCTCTTTCCCTTCCCCTCTTTTCTTAACATGGGTTGGAATCATGTGGCTGAAAGCAGTGAATAGAAGTAGTTCTGGGGAGGGTGATTTTGGTGCAAGAAAAAAAGATGAAGCGAAGCTATGTACATATGACCATATAAGATTATGTTAAGCGAAATGAACCCCAAGACAGGGACACAGTGTTTTTTTCTTTCTTGCTATTGTTTTTAATATACTTATAATGTATTATGTGGTTTTTTTTTTGTTTCTTTGGTATTTTACTCCTCCATGGTATAACCCTTGTTTTCACTGTATTTGATTCCAGTGCCCTGCATCTTGTATATACACTTTTCTAATTTGGGGAGGGGAAGGGAAAAAAATGAAATGCTTAAATATTGATATAAGTTGACCCATTGTAACAATGAGATGTAGAAGACTATGTTGAAAACGAACTTTACAACTTCAATGGGGGGAAGGGGTAGTTGGAGAGGGAAGGAAGGGATGATAGGGGGAAAATAAAGGAGGAGGCAACAATGCTCGATAGGAAATGTACTTATTACCTTACTCGTGTAACTGTAACCCTTCTATACAGTATTTTTACAATAAAAAACTTATTGAAAATAAAAGAGAAAAATATGAAGTATGTTGTTAGTGGAACAAGCTACGTTTGAATAGAAGTACTAATGTCTGTGGTAATCCAGAACACTCAAGGATAGTTCATTCATTCATCTCTTAAAATGTTATAGCAAGTAGGGCAGTAGAAAGAGAAACTGTCTTCCATTTAAGATTCTAGTTGTGGGTCTGTGCTGCTGAAATGCTTGCGTGGTTACGACAGGGCTGACGATTATATAACAGAATGTCTGAGACTGAGCAGTTTGTAAAAACAAAACAAAACAACCACAATAGAGATTTGGTTATAATAGTTCAGGAGACTAGGAAGTCTGAGGCCAAAAATCCCATATCAGGCAAGGGCCTCTTTTTGCAGCATCATTTTATAGAGGAAAGCAGAGGGCAAGGGAGGGTGTGTGTATGGGAGAGAGCGGAAGGCCAAGCGGAAGTCCTCAGGTACCAGTTCTTACTCCTGTAAGAACTATCCCGCTCCCGTGGCAACAGCATTCACTTCTCCATGAGGGCAGGGCTCTCCTGACCTAAGCATGTCTTTGAAGCCTCCATTCTCAACATGGGTGTATTTGAGATTGGGGCTGGGTTGCAGATGCTGGTGAGGCCTGACGTCTGGGCCCAGATAGGGAGTGAATGAGAGGCTGTGTGTGGGAGCAGGGTCTGGATGTGCAGATGTGCGGCCTGAAAGAGGCTGGAATTGGGATTGCACAACCTGATCTTTGCATTGGTGTCTGGTTTAGTCCTCTTTCCCCCCAACTTTGGGATGTTTGTTAATATGGCCTTTGTGGCTAGTGAGATAACTTCAACACTACGTGTGATTCCTCCTAAATGAACTTGAGTTCAGTTTCTATCTTTATTGATTTGGTATGATTGCCCTTCCAATGATCGTGTTTTGATTCCTATTACATTTAGGAGTTGATAATGGCATCTTTTTTGATGTATTATATTTCCCCCAGTTTAGTGTTTGAGGATATGTTATTATCACACATTCCATTTTTTTGACGTAGTGTTCTGTCATCATCTAGTGGTATTTTAGTTCCCAAAGATGATCTTTTCTTGTAGTCTACATAAAAGCACACCAACTTTTCTTTAGTGAGTACCTGGTATAAAATTTTCCTATTCCCTTCTTCTCCTACCAGTTTTTCAAATCCCTGAATGACTTTGCCTTGTTATGAAGACTAGACAGTACACTATAATTATTTAAGTCTTTTCCTTACTCAGCCCTTGGACTCTGTCTCTTGGAAGTGAGAATGGTTTTTATGATTGTTGCACCTTCTGCAGTGTCATGAGAAATATCTACGCTTTCACTCTTTCTTCCATCCATGCGATGATAGCAAGCTTTTTGGAATTAGGAAGTAACACTGTGGCCTGTTACCAGCTCCTCAGTAAGGCCCTGCCATCTACACATATCCGCTATTAGTGGGGTTTTGTCTCAGAGCAGAGGTAGAGAAATACATGGATCTGCAGAAGTAAGGTTAAATATCTAATTGAAAATAGAATTCAATTATAGCCCAGGAATTTCCAACATTGTACTTATAATTAGTTGTAAGGGAAATGTAAATTTAAGTATTGAAGCATGTAGTGCTTTCTGTCTTCAAGAACTTTCTTTTAACAGTTAGGAAAGTGACATTAATTGAATACTTGCTTACATGCCAAGCATTGTCTGTGTCAAGAATTTTAAATGTAGTATGGATTGTCTTACATGTAATATAGATTGGCTGTGTTTTATACTGTCAGAAATTAAAGTTCAAAAAGTAGGGAAAAGCTGGGTGTCAGTGGCTCATGCCTGTAATCCTAGCTACTCAGTAGGCTGGGATCTGAGGATCACAGTTCAAAGCCAGCCCAGGCAGGAAAGTCTGTGAGACTGTTACCTCCAATAAACCACCAGAAAACTGGAAGTGGCACTGTGGCTCATGTGGGAGAGCGCTAGCCTTGAGCTGAAGAGCTGAGGGACAGCGCCAAGCCCAGAGTTCAAACCCCACGACCACCACCACCAACAACAAAAAACTAGGGAAACTGGCTCCAAATAATCACACAGCTACTAATTAATAAAATAGGTAATGTGTAAAAAGGAAGAAAATCTGAACTAAACATTTAATAACTTCTGCCATTACTAAGTGATTCATAAATTTCAAATGCTGATGAAATCATGTCACATATTACATGTTTCTTTGAAGGTTTACAGCAAACCTGTTAGGTAGATAGGGACTTTGTTTAGGAATTTAGTATGAGATTTTTTTTTTTTTGCCCGTCCTGGGGCTTGAACTCAGGACCTGGCCACTGTCCCTGAGCCTCTGTGTACTCAAGGCTAGCTAACTCTACCACTTGAGCCATAGTGCCATTTCTGGCATTTTCTGAGTAGTTTATTAGAGATAAGACTCACAGACCTTCCTGCCCAGGCTGGCTTCGAACCATGATCCTCAGATCTCAGCCTCCTGAGTAGCTGGGATTACAGATGTGACCAGAGCTCGACTACCATTTAAAACCCCCAAAATTTAAATAGTTTAATAAAGCCACACAGCTTTACATAGCAAAATGCCATTTAAATGTCGGCTTGACTTAAAAGTCCTAGCCATGATGTTTTCCAGGATTCTTACCTTTAAGTACTTCTAGGACCTCATATCTCTGAATATCATTTAGAGATGGAAAATTATTGTCAAATACTTTTTACCAGAGACTTATTCCATGAGAAATAAAAATCACTGTTTTCTTCCGGTGTTACCATTCCTCACCTTCACTCATTACCTATAGATAGTGGCTTCTTCCACCCCATAGAATAAATAAAAGCCTATTTGTATATTTTCTTGAGTATAAAGTTCTTCCCCCCCCCATGTCCAGAGTACCATAGGGTAATGAAGTTTGGGCTTAGAATATTAATATTGAAATCCTGATTTTAAATCATGCTCCTTTTGTGGACTCAGAAAAGTTAGCTACTTTGAACTTCTTGTCTGTGACAAAAGTCCTGTCTCTTTTAGAGGGCTGTCATGACAAGAGAGAAGACACAGGTAAGAGCACTAGTGTTCAAATACATTCAGTTGGTGGAATGGAAGGCAACAATTCTCTAAGTGTGGTCTGAGAGTCATGACCTCCAAAGTACATTAAGAAGTTATTTCCGGGGCTGGGAAGGTGGCTCATGGTAGAGTGCTTGCCTTGCATGCATGAGACCCTCGGTTCGATTCCTCAGCACCACATAAGCAGAAAAAGTCAGAAGTGGCTATGGCTCAAGTGGTAGAGCGCTAGCCTTGAGCTGAAGAGCTGAGGGACAGCGCCCAGGCCCAGAGTTCAGGCCTCTCGACTGACAAAAAAAAAGTTATTTCCTCCTTTCACAAGATTACACAGGCTATAGTATATGAGATATAACAGACTGAAGGCAAAAACCATTCAGTGGTCTTCTGTGATGCCACAGTAAAGCAGCAGATTTGAAGCATGTCCCTCTGCACCAAGATCCCCTGTAAAAAAAAAAAAAAGTCTGCTTGTGCCTGACTTTCCTGAAATTCTGATTTCATATGTGTTTGTGTGTGATACTTTTAATAAAGTTCCTCAGATGATTTAAATGGGCAGTAAAGCCTGTGATCCCCACTATATTAAAGAGACTTAAAAAATATGAATCAAAGCTATTCTCTACACACAAAAAATGTAGTTCTTTTCAGGAGAAATATTATTTGTGTCAATCTGAAATGACTCAGTGATTTTTAAGGACATGAAGAGATTCCTGTCCCAAAATCTGGAGAGAGAGGATTGGTACAAGAATTAAGACCATGGCTGCTAGAGTCCAGACGGGAAGTCTGTGGCTCAGCCACAGTAAGTGTCCTGACTAGGAATGAGTTATCTACCTTTCTATGTAAGTGTCCTGACTAGGAGTGAGTTATCTACTTTTCTATGCTTCAGTTTCTTTGATTAGATGTAGAGATGTTTACCTACTAGGATTTTCTAGGATTTATTTATTTTCTTGATCCAGGACTTGAACTCAGGTCCTGAGGGCTGTCCTTGAGCTTTTTTGCTTCTGGCTTTATTTTTGGCTTTTTAGTGTTTAATTGGAGATAAGAGTGTCATGAACTTTCCTGCCCAGGGTAGCTTCGAAATGCAATCCTCTAAGCTCAGCCTCTTAAGTAGCTAGGATTATAGGCACGAGCCACTGGTGCCTGGTTCCTACTAGGATTTTTGTAAGATTAAATGAGTAGTCAAGTACAGCTTTGAACATGATTCCCAGAGTGCAGAATGGCTCCACCAATATTCACCTCATTTTTGTTCTGCTGTGACTCTAGCTGATCAGCTCGCACCTTTGATGATAACTGCAACGTCAGTGTAAAATTGGTGGATCGGACCATGCTTCTGTGCAGCTCATCTTCCCACACAACAGAGCTGGAGCCACTGTGTGGCAGCTCTTAGAGAAAAGGAGCTGGAGGATGTTGTGAATCCAGGAAGTTAAATGACTAAGTCATCCCAACCTGGAGCTTTCTTTCATATCTTTATTTGTGGAGACACAATCTGCCACATTATGGCCCTCAGTTTCAAGATTTCATGATTCAGAGAAGATGACGACACCACGATGAATGTGGGATATGTGGGGGGCAGGGTGGGGCAGAGGTGCTGGCATTGCTCAGGGTCAGGTGCATGTAATCTGTCAAATTCTCAGCTTCCTCACCCATTCCTTATGCTTCTGGCTTGAGAGAATTGCCAGCCTGAATCATCAGCATTCCTTTTGACATTTCCTCTCAAATTGAGTTCATCTCTAAAGATATTCTGTCTTTATTCTGATAGCATTGTGCTGTTTAGGAACATTACTTATAGTCTTTGTCTGAGTAGCTTCCAAAAATTGAGAAAGTCAGAGAGATGAATAACTCAACAATGGTAAATATCAACAGCAAAATCAAATTTCCCTGTAACAGAACAGGAAAAAAGGAAGTCATGGTATTAGCACACTAATCAAATTTCCGATTAATAGTGAGGTGGCAATTCCTAGGTAATAAAAACTCCCTTTACTTCCCCTCCCCCCCCCCCGCAAGTGTATCTGATACTTGGGCATCAGATTTGTGGAGGATTATGGGAATATGCAGACCACCTAGCATAGCACAGGACAGCATATATCACTTGAAAAAGTCACACAAAAGAATATATTTTCTAAACTATATATAGGTACTATTCAATTCCTTAAATGTAGCAACTACAGCAAAATGCACATCAGCAAAGTGGCCCATTGAGGGAGAAGACAGGAAAATGATAAAAGTAAAATTAGAAAAGGAAAGAAAAAGAGGAAAAAAAGAAAACTTACTAGTCCAGAAAAAGAGGAACATGCAGAAAAAGATATATAAAAGAAGCATCAGCTGAGAGTACCATCTATGCTCTTTTTTAGTATTTATTTGTTTTTTAAATTTTTGAACCAGTGTACATTTATAATAGATGGGGGTTTTATTGTGGTATTTTCATGCATGTGCACAGTGCAGTTTGAATATTTTCACTCCATCTACTGTTTTCTTCAGGGGTGAATATTCACCCCATTCCCTTTTCTCTTCTCCTGTCTCATCCCTGTTCAAATAGTGTTTAGAGGAATTTACTGCTCTCATCTTCATCACCTTATAACTTCCATTTTAGTCGCTGCAAAAGACTTGGAAGATGTTTTTGTGTTTTGGCAACTAAGAGCATGTAAAATGACATACACTTGGTCAGGAACCCTGAGTCTGGGGGTGCTGGCTCTATGTCAGTTAAGGTTTGTCACCTTCTGAGAACTGAGCCTTATATTGAAGTTGTAAACATTAATATTATCAATATTCTGTCTTCCAGCCATATTTGTCTATCATATTTGAGCTACAGATTGAATAACTACTTTAGAGACACAATGTTTAGTGGCCATATAATAAGTGATCATGTAAAATGTTTTAATATTTTAAAATAGCATATGTTAGATGCACAGGAGGTTTTATTGTGACATAGCTATGCAGGCATAAAATGTTCCCTGATCAAATTCAGTTCCTTTGTCATTTTCCTTCATCCCTCTCCCTTAAAACAATTTCAACAGGTTTCATTAGTTTCATGCATATATAAAAAGTACTTTGAGCTGGGCACCTGTAGTTCACACCAGTAATCCTAGCTACTCAGGAAGCTGAGATCTGAGGATTGCACTTCAAAGCCAGTCCAGGCAGGAAAGTCCATGAGACTCTTCTCCCCAATAAACTATTCAGAAAAAGGTGAAAATGGTTCTGTGGCTCAAGTGGTAGAGCACTAGCATTGAGCACAAAGAGGCTCAGTGACAGCACCTCAGTGACAGTGCACAGGCCCTGTGGTCAAGCCCCAAGACCCCAGCAGAAAAAAAAAAAGCATACTTGTAATGGTAGGACCTTTTGGGTGGACCAGGAGGAAGGGAGACAAGGAATGACTGAGTCAATAGTATTGAAATACTGTACAAAGATAGCATAAGGACACTCACTAAGAGTTGCTGGATAACGTGGGGAGGAACTGGGAAGAGAAAATAATAGGTTGAGCTGGTTGAAGTACTGTGTCTGTAAGGGTGAAATACCATGATACCATGGTACAACCCCTTTACAGCTAACATTCAGTAAAAGCAGATTGATTTCCTTCTCTCTCTATTTTCTGTGGACTTTTTGTATGTGTGTATGGGGGGGTGTTGGTCATTTGTTTTACCTCTCTAAATATTAAAAGCCAAATTAAAACAAAAAATATTCACGTTTCTAATATCTAGTACAACAATCTATGAATTATGGAGCTCTATTTTCATTTAGTATTAAGTTTCATAGTGATTTGTGTACAAGTCTATCCCTTCCAATCATGTCTAATTCCCTATGAGTAGGAGTTCTAACGTGTTTATTGTTCTATCAGGTATTATAATTTCCCTAAATTTGTGTGAGCAAAATACACATGCCTGGTTCACATTATCTGGGTGGTATTAATTGGATGCTACTGAATCTTTTTGATTAAGCCATTGGCCTCTCGCTCTAAAAAAATGCAGCATACTTACAGTGAACAGAATGGTAATCTTCTCACATGGAGATCGGTCTCGAGAGTAGCCACAGATATAATTTCCATCTAGAAGGAAACCAAACACGAGGAGAATGGTTCCAGCTGTTGCTCCGAGGGCACTGACAATGTTTACCACTCGGCTCACGATTAGCTGCAAAGGAATCCGAACACAGCACAAGGACAGAGATAAAGAAATGAGCAGAGCCCCTGGAGAACAAGGTCTTAGTCATAATGATCCAGTGCCATGGGCCAGCCAGGTCCTTATCTACAGAATGCAGTGGACTTTTTTTTAATGCCAGTCCTGGGGCTTGAACTCAGGGTCTGGGCACTGTCCCTGAAGTTCTTTTGCTCAAAGCTAGCGCTCTTACCACTTGAGCCACAACACCACTTCTGGCTTTTTTCTTATGTGGTATGGAGGAATAGAACCCAGGGCTTCATGCATGCTAGGCAAGTACTCTACCACGAAGCCACATTCCCAGCCCATGCAGTAGACTTTTCAGTGATGTTTCTATTTGCCACATTCTGTACCTCAGTTAGCTTCCGTTCATATGAGGTGGGTGCTTAGGGGACAAAGGATGGGATATAGGGTAGCAACCTAGTGTTGCATTTTGATGCTGTGGCACAACTCATGGCCTGTTAACACTTTTGTTCTAAAACTTGTGTTTAAGTATTGTGTTTCTGTCATTTTTATTTCTTCCTGGAACTACAGGCTTGCAGAAGATATTTATTTATTTATTGTGAAAATACCATACAGAGGGGTTACAATTACATGGGCAAGATAGTGAGTACATTTCTTATCAAGCATTGTTGCCTACTCCTTTGTTTCCCCTTCCCATTCCTTCCCATCCTCCCCCCACCCCCACACCCCCATCCCACCAAAGTTATGAAGTTTGTTTTTCGACATAACATCTTGTACATCTCATTGTTGTAATGGGTCCATCTGTAACCCTGTTTAAACAGCTTGTTTTTTTCCTTCCCCTCTACAAATTATATCAACATCAAATACAGTAAAAGCAGGGCTTATACCCTGGGGGA